TGGATTAATAGGGTCTCTGTTTGCCCTTCTCTGAGGGACACAGAAACTGCGGATCAGAGGTCCTTGGGAAGTTTGGATCTTGTCTTAAAAGAGTCAGCCTCTCAAGGGCTCCCAACAGACAAGCTTGGGAGCAGGAGAACAGCAAGAAGAGTGGCAAGGATCTCGGCGCCACAGCCTCAGCCTGACTGTACCCTCCACGCCCCAGAGAAACTGGGACCACCCTACCCAGAAGTAAAGGGCCTATGAGAAAGAATCAGGAACCAGGAGCAGACAAGTTGGCTCAAGTCAGTGGCACAATTTGAGGGATGAAGAGATACCCCTGCCTCGAGCATTTCCTCCATCAGAATGGTTCCCATGCCCCCTGACATGCTGGCCTGGAGAGCAAACTAATCTGTGTCCACCCCATTTTCCCTCATTGCTTTAGAATTCTAATGTGCCCAAAAGAAAAGTAATGCTTGCCTTCCTTATCCACTGAAGGTGTGTTTTCTTCTCAGAAGCCCAGGTCAGGATGGGGATAGTCCAATCTGATTTGCCTGCGGGTAGAGTACAGCCTTTGGGCCCCCACCAGTTATGGCACATGCACGCCTGCAACTCATTTCAGCACCTTAGTATCAGGTCAGGGGAGGCCTGAGGACCCTGTAGAGCTGTGTTCCACCGTATTTCCAGAACACTAGATTTTCCTTACCCCTGGATCAGATTGGAAAGACCCTAAAGGACAAAATGTTAAATCCCTGGTTTAAATATAATGCACCACAAAGGCAATGGGATTCCTTGTGCCTGTGGAAAGGCTAAGGAAGCGGGGGACATCACAAAGTAGAGGAGACCGGATTCCTCAACTCCTTTGGCCAAAGAGAGCTTGGCAGGAGCCTTACGGAGATTCATGTGGTATAGCTTGATGGGGTGGCTCTCAGGAGTCGATGTGCAGAGGAGGATGGGGGTCTGGAGCTGCTCTTGTTACTTTGGTGTCCTGGAAGCAGTGCAGCCCTGAGCTGGGGAGAGGCGCATTCTCTGAATTTGCTCACATAGTGCAGTGTGGCTTTGTGGTAGTGGGGGGAAGTGCCCTCGCCCACAGGACAGACAGAGCTGTGGCTATTCAGCCATTTCTGCCAGGCTGCTGTGCCCAGGGAAACTCAGGTCATCTCAGTAGAAATCAGTGCACAGAGCAGGTGGCAGCGTGTAGCCATCAGTGGGAGGACTGGCTGCAAAGGAACCTGGTATCCTCTATGGTCAGAGAGGGACAAAACAGACTCTGCAGGACACCACAGTGGCTTGGGCAGGCAGATTTTCTCTGCCTTCTGTTTAAAAAGTCATGACAGAATGTGAGGCCAATATTTCCAGGGAGCCATTCACTTCAGACTGGAAATTACAAAGGAGGCGTTTTGAATGCCTGCCCTGTCGGTCTTGATACCCTGCAGCTGCCACCTGTCTCCACAACAAAACAGCCCTGACTCCCTCCTCGTATTGTATTACCAAGGACTCTTGGGGAAAAGGCCAGTCGGGACAGTGGCTGAGTGTGTGTTTGGTGGGGGGGCGGGGTGTGTGGAGGGGGTTGCCGAAACGCCCTCACCCCACATGGCTTTGGTATAGGTGCCATCTGGCTCTGAGGCTTGGTTTCCTTCCAGAGAACTGTTAGCCCCACCAGGGTGTCAGTTCACCTTTCTCAGGGGAGATACCGGGCCCTGGAACCAGGCGCTGCTGAGGCCAAGGCAGAGAAGGGTAGTTGACCCCTCTTCTCCACCAGCCTCTGATATGCTTCCTCAGAGCCACCCGGGCTACCAACCGTCACCCTGGTCATAAGCAAGTGTAAGCACAGAATCAGACCTAGGATCAGAGGTCCTCTCTCCCACCAACACCCCACATGCTCACACACACTGAGAGCCATGTGTGGGTACAGCCAGGGAAGCTATGAGGGGAAATGTGACTGAATAACAATATTTACTCTCTACATGCAGATGTGGCTCCTGGCATCTTCATTGCCTGAAAGTTTAATGTGGTCGAATGAAATGTGGAAACGAGCCACAAAAGCTAAAGTGATATTTGGCTGCAGCAAACACACAATGCTCTGACTAGCCTGAGGCAGGTCTGAGCCCCACACTTTTTAAGGGAGCTTGACAAACTGGACTCTATTCAGACAAGAGTGACAAGGAGAAGAAAATATTGAAACCATTGTAAAAGGAATAGTTGAAGGAACTGGGATTATTTAGCCAAGAAAGAAGAAACATTAAGGAGACTGATACCTTTCCTCAGAGATCTGATAGGCTCTCATATAGAAAAAGAAAACTAGCTAATGATCATAGCCAATGTTTATTGAGTACTTGCTATATGCTAAGCACCATAATAAATGGTTTTCATACACTTTCCCGTTTAGTCTAAACATCAATCCTACAATGTAGGTGTTTTTATTATGCTCATTTACAGGCAAGGAAAATTCAGAAAAGTTGAGTGACTTGCCCAAGGTCACACAGTAAGTGGTAGAGCCAGGATATGAACCCAGGTGGCCTAACTCCGGTACTCATGATTTAACCACCATCTATATACCTGTTCTGAGTGGAACCTCAGCAAAATTAGGAGCAATGGTTAGAAGCAGAGGCAGATCAGAAAGCAATATGAGGGAAAAACTTTGAACAACTGGAGCTGTTCAACAAAGAATATTGGGTGGGTACTTTGGGTGGTAGTGGTCTACCACCACTAGAGGTGTTCAAGTAGAGGATGCAAGAAGTATTACACAAAACAGTTTGCAAGGGGTAAAACAGTATCAGCAGCACCAGGGAACTTGTTACGAATGCAAGTTCTCAGACCCCACCCCAGATCTACTGAATCAGAAACTCTGGGGGTGGGCCCAGCAATCTGTGCTTTAACAAGACCTCCAGGTGATTCTGATGCATGCTCAAGTTTGAGAATTACTGGCATAGACGTTTCTGCACACTGCCAGGGATGGACTAGATGACTGCTGCAGTCCCTTCCATTTCTGAACCTCCCCAATTCTACAGAAATAAGATAAAAATATGATTTAATATCCAACTTTTTTTTTATGTTGAGCACTTGAAAATAGCATATCAGTTGCCAAATTGTATGGTTGGAGTCAAGTACCTTAGACATTCGCAGGCAGAGAAAATAAATATTTGGGAGGCTGTGGGCGAGGGGCTCCCACTCCGACCCTCACCAGGAAGAATTTTATCCAAACTCAGTTGCTTCACTGGTTTCCAAACACATCCTGTAGTCCCTACCCCTTGTTCATTCGTACTGTTCTCTACCTGAAAAACATTTACCCTGCCTTTGGAAATCCTACCCGCCTTTAAAAGCTCAGTTCAAATGTCACTTTGTCCTGGCAAAGTGACTAACAGTGTCTGGCCCACAGGACAATCTCCCTTTCTTCCTCCCTCCTTCTTGCCTTCCTGAGGTACTTACAGCACCTGGCACATTGGGCCTTGCATCACGAGGATGTGGGCCTCTCTCAACAGAACGTGCTCTCCTTGAGAGTAGGACTGTGCTCACTCATCATGATACCCAGAACCCAACAGTCAAGTGATGAGTGATTACAGGAAGCATTTTATCTACGAAGTTGTTTGCAGGAAGGACCAACACTGCATGACTGGTGAGAAGGAAGCCCTCTGCGATCCAATGTCAAGCCCCGAGGTCTTTGCACAGCACTGAGGTTTTTGCAATAAACAGTACGAACATGTATGTCTGCTAGTGCTCAAATGGCCACACCCTCATGCATCCACAGCCCTTGTTATCTCTAACTCCTCTTCATGTTAATCCTTTTCATAATAATCATTGTTTTACAGCACCTGGATGATGACTAACACTGAATGCCCTTGTAGCCAACCTTCCAGTTATCCCACAGGCACATGTATGAAAAGTCTCTATTTTAGGGAACGGAGAAGTCAGAAACTTGACCACTGTTGTAGGAAAAGCAAGTAGGGATACTAGGATATGAGACACCAGGTCCAGTTTAGCAGTTTACGTCTGTGGGATCAGGTGTCATATGGGCTGTGGTGGACTGGTCTTGTGACCAGGATGGTGGTAGAGACATGCAGATGAGGTGAGATAACTCCTTCCCCAACATGGGTGACTCTAGTCTTGAAAATTTCCCCCCCAACTCCACTTCTTATGACACCCCTATTGGGCTCCTGGGTAGCCTGGCTCTGGATGGCAAGGATAACGGGTGTTTGCTCCAAAACCATGGGGCTTCATGTTGTGCTGGGTCCCTTCGGCACAGGGCCCGGCCCAGTCTTGCAGAGCTTAGAACCCAAAGCTTCTAATTCTCTTTCCACCAAAGTAGAAAACCCTGAAATTTAGGAATAACCATTGCAATCTTCCCAACCATCAATGACCAAGAAGGGACAGGAGAACATAATGGAGATGAGTGAGGGGGTCCTGGGTGGGAAAATAAGGTCAGTCATCCACCCTCTCACCCCATGCCAAGGCCCACTTTGGCGGCCTCCACTCCTCCCTTGCTCTCCCAGCCTCCCTTGACAGCCCCCTGCCCCTCTTCCCTTTTCAACCTTGAACAGCTCTGCTCTCTGCCCTGCTCCTCAACAAAACCTGCTCTCACGGAAGGACCTGGCACATTTTCTTTAGAGTTGAGGGCACAGTATCTTCCAGGATCATTTCTGTTATCAGTGTTAGCTTTATTATCAATTATCAAGGGAAAACTTTTGTCCCCTCAGAGTGAACAATTTCAAGGGGTGGTTGTCCTCGGCCCTCTCAGCAGCTTAGTCTATTTCTCACACAAAAAGGGAAGAGGAAAAAGAGAAAGCAATGGAGGAGGATGTGGAGGAGAGAGGAGAAAAAAATCCACAGTGGGGGTGGAGGAGAGAGTGGGAGTGGTGGAACCAGGAAGACCCCTGACTGCTAAAAACCCATTCTGTGGTTTTGAAAGACCATCTATATTAGTAGTGAAGGTATGAGCAATGACGGAAGTGGGGAGATGAGGTTTTAACAAGACCAAATAACAATCTGAGGGCTGAGAACTCATTCAAAGAGCTTGTATCAGAGCCCCCAGCCTGAGAGCAGAAAAGAAGAACTTCTGTGCTGAGGTAAAGAGGCCTGCTGAGGGCTGGGGACCTGGGGTCCAGGAGGAGGAATGAGACCATTGACAGGACTGCCAGGCAAGAACAGGCTTCCAGTGAGGTTCCTGAGAAACCTGTTTCTTGAAGAGAAATGTCCATTGCCCTCAGGAGCCTGGGGTGGGAGGGGGCAGGAGTACTACTTGTGCCGGCTGGGCTGGCATGCTCACTCTTCTCCAGCAGCATTCAGGGACACTGGGCCTATCCTCACTTTCGTCAAATGGGAGAGAGCCACACTGTGTCCATGGGTTGCTACGAGTTGGAATCCACTTGATGGCAATGGGTTTTGGTTTTCATGGTGTCCCTGGGAGGGAGATCCAGGTGAACTCCCTGAAGTGTCTTCTCCTGACCGAACTGCAATCCCTTAAATCAAAAAACACCCATTGCCATCGAGTTGATTCTGACTCATAGCAACCTTGTAGGACAGAGTAGAACTGCCCTGCAGGGTTTCCAAGGAGCAGCTGATGGATTCAAACTGCCGACCTTTTGGTTAGCAGCCAAACGCTTAAGCACTGTGCCATCAGGGCTCCTGCAATCTCTTATGCTACTCGAAATCCTCCAGGATATTTTCTTTTGTTCCGTCTCATGGGGCATGAATGACAATGGGTAAGGGTTTTTTATAAATAAAAAGGAGACAGAGAGTTCTTGGGGGAAAGTTACCAAGGTCTGGATCACATCCACAGCTGCAGCCTTCTTGGCCTGGCCTGGCTAGGAGCTGTGAGGCATCTCTGAGGGAACTTCAGGTCTCTGAGGATGTGCTCCAATGGTGACGCAAAAAACAGAGACTTCTGGCCACTGGCACGTTTATGGTAGAGTAAACCTGGGAATTCCAGGGTAAAATTAATGGTTTAGAGATAATTTTTCCAAGTTCCAAAGTTGTTGTGCACTTTTAGTTGGAGACTTTTGGCTTAGGAATCAGGAGACTTTTGGATGCCTCAATCTCCCCAGTTGCAAAAGGAGCCTGATCTTCAGGGGTTCTTAACTGGGGATGCATGGGCCTCCACGAGGTCCATGAATAGATTCATTCATTGGATTCATTAATCTGGGAGAAAAATTACATCTTTAATTTTCATCAATCTCTGATTGAAATTTAGCATTTGTTTCAATTGTGAATATAGGCCACAAACCACAATAGAATTTGCCATTAACTAAAATCACAAATATTTTCAAATCACATTACAGTTATTACAGATTTCTCAAAATGTCATTTATGCTTATCACTACTACAAAATTACAATAGCTCTTAGGCTGGATGCTAAAGAAGCGTATGTATTACTCTATCACACATTCTTCTAATACCTTGACAACTGTTTTAATGTAATTTTTCTTTGTTATCCTATGTATTTTATTTTATTAATTTTTAAATATTATTCTGAGAAGGGGATCCATATGCTTCACCACATGACAAAAGGGGGTCCATGACCCATGAAAGGTTAAGAAGCCCTGCTACAGTGGGTTGAGAGGGGTCCCACTGGGGAGCCTGGGAACAGCAGACAAGTATTCCAAGTGGCTCCTGGCCTAACTTCTGTTTACCTACAAGTCTGGTTCTATTTTAGGGAAGTTCAGGTTATGGAATATGAAAGGAAATAGCCACCTTCACAGTTACAAATGGGATCCTACCTCAGGGCCTGGGGCATCTTTTTCAGTTTTGTGGGAGATAGGTGTACAGAGAGGTATGGGAAGAGCTGAGAGCTAATCTTCCAGCTCCTCTGAGAGGTTAGATACGGGCTTTGGTGGCAGAGAGAATGGAGACTTCTTCTTACAATTTTGTCCTCACCAGTGATAGTCCCATACTCCTCACAAAACCCTGGGCAAAGCTTTAACCCCCACAACAGTCCATGAGGGAATTTTAAACAGAAGAAAGGTGAGGATGAGCAAGGTAAAGTAATGGGCCCACATCACGCACAGTAGTAATTGTCGAAGCTTGGATTTTAATTTAAACCCAGGAGTCCACAAGACTCCAGGACCACCTCACCACGCCACCTCCTCCTTAGAGGGGGGGCGCTCACTGGTCTACTGAGATCTGCTGCCAAACTGCCTCCCCGCCCTGAGAGTCCCTAGGCCTAGGCAGCCAGCGCACTTCAAGGAAGACTGCCAGCCAATCTGCACCCTCATCCCACCTAATGCCCGCTTCGGGGCTCGCCACGTTTACTGGGAGGGGAGACCTGCCCCAGGCACATGATGCGCCTAGAAAGTTAACAAAATACCCTCCCCCAGTTATTGAGGGCCAGTTGCTGCTGTGGTACAGGCTGCGTTCCCGGGACCCACCAGACCCAATCTCGCTCCCCCTTCACCTCCACTGAATTTAGATTTTCCCCGACTCCCCCCCATCCCCGCTCGCTACCCCCCACTCCTAGGAGGCTCAACGGCCTAAGGCTGGATTGAGGAACTGCGGGGAGCGGGCGGAGGGCTTCAGCTGGAAGGCAACACCCTCTAGCGGTCAGAGTACAGAAGCAGCGGGGCTACTCCGCCCAGCCCCGCCTGCGCTCACACCAGGGTGCTCTCTCCGCAGGGACACCAAAGTCACCCTTCCAAGAGCATCTCACCCAATAGCCCCCGATCCCCCTCTCCCCTCTACCCCTGCTGAACGGCCCACAACAGACTTACACGCTCTGCTCCAACTCAGCCCTAGGCACCGCGAAGCCAGGCCACTTCTCGGAGTGACGGGCTGCAAGAGCGCCTCTGAGCCTGTCTGCCGCTGTCTTCTTGGAAACTGTCCCTACCCCGCCCCCCTTCCATCCTGCTGCACTAGTCCCTCAGGAAACACGCCAAGAGAAGGGATCTGACCTTTCTCAACATCTCAAAGCTAGCTAATGGCAAAGCCAGGACTGGAAGCCAAATCTCCCCTGCCCACTCCCCGCGTTACTTCACCCACTAAATCTGTCAGGCACTAGCTCTCCAAAGTCGGCCTAACTCCACTGCTAGCTTGCAGCCTGCTCCAAATCCCTCATTCAGAATTTCTCTTTACCTATTCCTTGATATACCTGATGACCTTATTATTGTTCTTATCACAGTCCTTGTGTTGCAGCTGCTTGTGCATGGATAGAAGGCATGACAAACTCACAGCTGAGAGGGACAAAGAGAACTCCAAATGTTAGACCAATATAGCTTGGGTTAGAATCCTAGATCCCCCACTTACAAGCTGTGGTCTTAAGCAAGTCACAATGCCCCTCCAAGCCTTCATATGCTTAGTATGAATGATACATTTAAAAAATAGTAATAGGTCTGTGTTTCATGGGAACTAGAGACTGCATTTAAAAGGAGCAGGGGTGGTGCAGCAGACAGCAGTTGTTAAGGGTTGGCTGCTAACTGAGAAGTCAGCAGTTTGAACCCACCAGCGTCTCAGAGGGAGAAAGAACTGACGATCTGCTTCAGTAAAGATTATTACAGCCTTGGAAACCCTATGGGGCAGTTCTGTACGGTCACTATGGATGGGAATAGACTTGACGGCAACAGGTTTAGACACTGCATTTAACCACTAAGATGGTTAGCGTCTGCTGTTTTAGTCATCCTCTGTGTCCTATCGTGCCTAACACATCATAGTCGCTCAGAGTTTGTCAAATGCGCCCATTTATTAAGGGCTGAGCATAGTGCCTGGCCCAGAAGCCTATGAAATTTGCCTGTCACACAATTAGCAAGTTTTAGAACCAAGATTTGAACACACACAGTCTGGGTCCAGAATCTATGCTTTTAACCACAATTCTGGAGTGAATAGGAAGCCTGGGTGGCACAAGTGGTTTGCAATCGGCTGCTAACCTAAAGGTTGGTGATTCAGCCAAGAAAACCCTATGGAGCAGTTCTACTCTGTAACACATGAGGTTGCCACTGAGTCACTAACATCAACAACTGGACTGAATGAATGATTGCATCCTTTATTTTCCTCTTCAAATCAAATGATGCTTTTTAGCTAGATGCAAAGCATGTCTCTAGACCTTCAGTGTTTGTTTCAAGAGTCAGCAGGACCGTCTGGTGGAGACATGATGCAGCATGAAGGTGTGCCACACAGGAGAGGTAGCTTGAGGTGGAGGCTAGGGAAGCCGTATCACTGGGGGCCATATCTCCGGCTGCTGCTGGGATTTCTTATCAGGATTGTGACAAATTTATAGATAAATATAGGGAAAATAAACAATTGTCTCTATTAAGATTTTCTTTCATGTTCCTTAAGAGTACTTTATTGTTTTTATCCTAAGATTCTAATAGAAACCTGGTTACATTTTTCTGGGCATTTTGTTGCTCTTATGAATGGGATTTTTTCATCTATCATATTTTTTGACTATTAATTTTATCTAGGAAAGTTAATAATTATATGTTTATAAGTGAACACTTTGCTGAATTTTATTACATGTTAATTTATTATTTTATGCCACTTTTAATTATAATAATATTCCATATTATGGCTATGCCATAACTTATTCAATCATTCTCTTGCCAGAGTCTTCGCCTGTCTCTAGTTTTTTGGTATTATATACTATAGTGAAGTGAAAAATGTTGTACATATATCCTAGCATACTCATGTATATATAATGATAATTTTTTCTAAATATTTCCAATATTTATACCCCTTACTTCATTTTCTTGCCTAATTGAAGGACTAACACTTCCAGAACAATGTAAAAGAGATAATAGTAAACATCTTCGTCTTGCTTTCAATTTAATAGAAATTTCCTCTATTTCACCATTAAATATGATGCTGGAATTTTATTTGAGATAGTTTTCTATTTTATTGAAGAGTATTTATCCATTACAATTTTGTGTAGGACTTTATTGGGAATGAATGTTGATTTTGATCAGAAGATACCTGAACTAGTGCTATCTGGTAAGACAGTACAATTTTCTTAATTTAGTCCATGCTTATTAGACCATTTTTGGTTCTCTCTCTGAGTCAGTTTTGGTCATTTGTACTTCCACAGAAAATCGTTTATTTAAACCAGATTTTTTAACGTTTTAGCATAGAGTAATAAAAATATATACTTTATATAAAAAAAATTTTTTTTAAAACCCCACTGCCATCGAGTTGATTCTGACTCATACTTCATAATTTTTAGTCCCATTATTTCCCTTTGTTTTTCCTAATTTTCATGTTCTTCCTTTTGCCTTTTGTCAACTAGATATTTTATTATGGGTTTTTTCCCCCTAAAGGGCCATGAACTGAATGAAATTAAAAGGATGCTTAAGAGTTTGTGAGACAGAGAACAACAGGAAGACATCTCAACTGTTCTCCATTCTCCAGATCATATTCAATGGCTGGGGTTTGCTGGGGTTTACTGGGGTTTACAGATAGCTGTTCTTATCTTTATTAGCTCCTTTCTTTGGGTTTATGTTATTATTCTTTTATTATCTTCTTAAGATGGACACTTAGCTTATTAAGTTTCTGACTTTTTTCATTTCTAATATAAACATTTAAGGCAATACAGTTCCTTCTAACTCTACTTTTTATGAATCTCACAAGTGTTAATATATTTTCATTATTATTTATTTCTAACTAATTTTTAATTCCAATTATGGTTTTTTCTATGACAAAAAAGGTTATTTCCAAATGAATAGGGATTTTTCAAAAAATAAAACTTTTTATGTTTTTAACGTCCACGTCAATTGCATTATGATACTGACTCTGAAATTTTTTGAGGCTTGCTTTATTGACTAGTACATGATTAATTTTGTAATGTTCCATGTGCATTTGAAATGAATATGTATTCTCTAATAGTTAGGTGGAGAGATCTCCATATGTCTATTAGATTAACTTATTGTTATTTAAATTTTCTATATCTTTTATTTTTTTGTCTGCTTGACTTACCAATAATTGAGAAAAAGATGTTGAAATCTGGCTATTATTGTGGATGTTCCTGTAGTTCTTCCAAATTACGCTTTATATAGTTTCAGGCTATTAAGTGCATACAAGATTATAATTATTGTATTTAGTCCTAGTGAATTAAATCTTTTATTACCATTAAGTGATCCTTTCTATTTCTGAAAAGTTTTTTTTTTGCCTAATGTTAATATAGGTATGATTGCTTTCTTTTGCTTAGTGTTTAACTCACAATATTTTCCAGCCTTTTATTTTCCATCTTTCCATGTCTTTATGGTTTAGGTATTTCTCTAGTATACAGTATGTTGCTGGATTTTCATTAAATTAAATATGACAGTCTGTCTTTTAACTGGTTAGCCTATTTATATTTATATGATTGTTGATATATTTAAGTTAGAATTATTGTTTCCTTTTCCTTCTGAATGAGTACTTCCATTCCACCTCTCACATGGAATTTTATCCTAATGTATATATTTAATGCTTGAAGGTGTATTTGACAATCCCATCATACATTTCTGCAATAAAAATATATAAGTAAATTCAAATTAGATGTTTTAAATTTCCTGTGATTATAAATGTAATTTTTTTAAGCTTCCTCTTATTAATGACTGAACAAACCAATAAATTTTGGTAAACATAATACTTCAACATT